AAACAAGAGGCCCAATGGGCCTGCATCGCTCACCTGGTATAAAACTCACACTTGTAACCTTAAAAGTGATCTAAAATAAAGCTACAGGCAAAATATCAGTATTTATGTTCAAAAGACCCTGTTATTTTTTTTTAAAAACATTTCACCCCTGTCATTGAAAGTCGAACAAGGTCATTATGTTGAACACATTGTATAGCCTTTCATCTCAGGATGCAACTTGCAAAGTATAAACATCCTGGGACCCATTGTAATTCATAAGAGGTTGTTTAAAGATTTTAAACAAATTTGACCCCTGTGACCTTGAATATAAGTCAAAGTCATTCACTTTAACAAACATAGTAGTCTTTGATCCCAGCATATGCTACTAGCTAAAAATCAACATCCTGAGCCTTTTGGTTATTCAAAACAAGTTGTTAAAATATTTTAAACATATTTGCTCCTTATGACTTTGAATATGATTCAAGGTCATACATTTAAACGAACTTGGTAGCCCTTGATCCTAGTATGCTACTGACTAAATATCATCACCCAGGGCATTTTGGTTATTCAGAAGAAGTTGTTTAAAGTTTTTAACATGTTTGACCCCTGTGACCTTGAATATGGATGAAGGTCATTCATTTGAACAAACTTTGTAGCCCTTCAGCTCAGCTTGCTACTTGCCAAATATCATCACCCTGGGCATTTTGGTTTTTGAGAAGTTGTTTAAAGTTTTTAACATATTTGACCACTGTGACCTTGAATATGGGTGTAGGTCATTCATTTGAACAAACTTTGTAGCCCTTCATCTCAGCATGCTACTGGCCTTATATCATCACCCTCGGCATTTTGGTTATTCAGTAGAAGTTATTTAAAGGTTTTTTAAGACAATTGACCCCTGTGACCTTGAATATAATTGAAGGTCATTCATTTGAACAAACTTGGTAGCCCTTCACCCTAGCATGCTACTGACCAAATATCATCTCCCTGGGCAGTTTGGTTATTGAGAAGTAGTTGTTAAAAGTTTTTAACATATTTGACCCCTGTGACCTTGAATATAGATGCAGGTCATTTATTTGAACAAACTTGGTAGCTCTTTAAAGTGCCAGGTGAGCTAAAAACATGGTAGTCCTTAATTCCAGCATGTTAAATATCATCATCCTTAGCCTTTTTGAGAAGAGGTCGTTTAAAGGTTTTAAACATATTTGACCCCTGTGACCTTTAATATATGTCGAGGTCATTCGATTGAATAAACTTAGTAGTCCTTCATCCTAGCATGCTACTGGCCAAACAGCATCATCCTAGGACTTTTGGTTATTGAAAAGATGTTGTTTAAAGGTTTTAAACATATTTGACCATTGTGACATTGAATAATTGTCAAGGTCATTCATTTTAACAAACTTGGTAGCGCTTCATCCTAGCATGCTACAGGCCAAATAGTATTACCCTCAGCCTCTTGGTTATTGAGAAGTAGTTTTAAAGGTTTTAAACATTTGACCCCTGTGACCTTGAAAAAGGGTGAAGGTCATTTGTTTGAACAAACTTGGTAGCCCTTCATCCCAGCATGCTAAAGGCCAAATATCATCACCCTAGGCCTCTTTATTATTCAGAATAATTTGTTCAAAGATTTTAACATATTTGACCCCTGTGACGTTGGATATCAGCGAAGTTCATACATTCGAACAAATTTGGTAGCCCTTCATCCCAGTACTAACAGGCAAAATATCATAACCCTAGGCCTCTTTGTAGTTCAGAAGTTGTTTAAAGGTTTTGAACATATTTGACCCCTGCAACCTTGAAAATGGGCGAAGGTCATTTGTTTGAACAAACTTGGTAGCCCTTCATCCAAGCATGATACTGACCAAATATCATCACCCAAGGCCTTTTAGTTACTTAGAAGAAGTTGTTGAACAGTATTTAACATATTTGACCCCTGTGACCTTGAAATAAGATGAAGGTCATTCATTTGAACAAACTTGGTAACCCTTCATCCAAGCATGTTACTGGCCAAATATCATCATCCAAGGCCTTTTGGTTATTGAGAAGAAGTTGTTTAAAGTCTTTTTTACATGTTTGAACCCTGTGACCTGGAAAATAGATGAAGGTCATTCGTTTGAACAAACTTGGTAGCCCTTCATCCCAGCATGTTACTGGCCAAATAACATTATCCTTTCCCTCTTGGGTATTCAGAAGAAGTTGTTTAAAGGTTTTAAACATATTTGAGCCCTGTGACCTTGGAAATTGGAGGTCATTCATTTGAACAAACTTAGTAGCCCTTGATTTCAGGATGCTACTGGCCAAATATCATCATCCAAGGCTGTTTGGTTATTGAGAAGAAGTTGTTTTAAAGGTTTTAAACATATTTGACACCTGTGACCTTGGAAATTGGAGAAGGTCATTTGTTTGAACAAACTTGGTAGCCCTTCATCCCAGCATGTTACTGGCCAAATAACATTATCCTTTCCCTCTTGGGTATTCAGAAGAAGTTGTTTAAAGGTTTTAAACATATTTGAGCCCTGTGACCTTGGAAATTGGAGGTCATTCATTTGAACAAACTTAGTAGCCCTTGATTTCAGGATGCTACTGGCCAAATATCATCATCCAAGGCTGTTTGGTTATTGAGAAGAAGTTGTTTTAAAGGTTTTAAACATATTTGACACCTGTGACCTTGGAAATTGGAGAAGGTCATTTGTTTGAACAAACTTGGTAGCCCTTCATCCCAGCATGTTACTGGCCAAATAACATTATCCTTTCCCTCTTGGGTATTCAGAAGAAGTTGTTTAAAGGTTTTAAACATATTTGAGCCCTGTGACCTTGGAAATTGGAGGTCATTCATTTGAACAAACTTAGTAGCCCTTGATTTCAGGATGCTACTGGCCAAATATCATCATCCAAGGCTGTTTGGTTATTGAGAAGAAGTTGTTTTAAAGGTTTTAAACATATTTGACACCTGTGACCTTGGAAATTGGAGAAGGTCATTTGTTTGAACAAACTTGGTAGCCCTTCATCCCAGCATGTTACTGGTCAAATATCATCACTCTAAGCCTCTTGGTTCTTCAGAAGAAGTCGTTCAAAGATTTGAACATATTTGACCCCTGTGACCATGAAAATTGATGAAGGTCATTCATTTGAACAAACTTGGTAGCCCTTGATTCCAGTATGCTACAGGCTAAATATCATCATCCTAGGCCTGTTGGTTACTGAAAAGAAGTTGTTTAAGTAAAAAGTTGACGCCAGACAGACGGACGCCGCACCATGGCATAAGCTCACTTGCCCTTTGGGCAGGTGAGCTAAAAATGTAGGAGAAAATCTCCGGACAAAAAATCAAATACTGAAAGGGCAATAACTTTTGCAAAAATCGTCGAATAAAAATTCTTTTAAGAGAGGCCAACTTAATATTATGATTATAGTGTATACTAAGTTTCAAAAAGATCGGTCAAAAATGTAGGAGGATATTGCCGGACAAATAAAAAAGTTTACACCGGACGGACAACCCCATACCTTTATACTTCCGTCAAATTTGACGGGCGTATAAAAACTGTAGAAATCAGAATGCAGTTATCTAATAACCATAACCGATCAAGAGTAAAAGAGGCCCAAAGGGCCTGAATCGCTCACCTGGTATTAATCTTACACTTGTAATTTTAAAAGTGGACTAAAATACAGCTACAGGCAGAATATCAGCGTTTGATTCATAATTATAAGAACCTATTAAAAGATATAAACATATGACGCCTGTGACCTTGAATGTTGAACAAGGACATTAGGTTCAACAGAGTCTGAAGTCTTCCACCCAGCATGCTTCTTGGAAAATATCAGTACCCTGGAACTTTTGGTTATACAGAACAAGTCATTTAAAGATTTAAACATATATTGACCACTGTGACCTTGAATATGGGCGAAGGTGATTCATTTGAACAAACTTGGTAGTCCTTCATCCCAACATGTTAATGGCAAAATATCATTACCCTTGGCCTTTTGCTTATTGAGCAGTTGTTCAAAGGTTTTAAACATATTTGACCCATGTGACCTTGAATATATGTCAAAGTCATTCATTTGAACAAACTTAGTTGTCCTTCATCCCAGCAAGTTACTGGCCAAATATCATGATCCTAGGCCTCTGGGTTATTGAGAAGTTGTTTGAAGATTTTAAGACATTTGACTACTGTGACTTTGAAAGTGGGTCAATGTCATTCAGTTGAACAAACTTGGTAGCCCGTCATCCCAGCATGCTACAGGCCCAATATCAGTTCCCTGGGCCTTTTTGGTTATTGAGAAGTTGTTTAAAGTAAAATATTGACGCCGGACGGACGGACGCCGCACCACGGCATAAGTGAGCTAAAAATCACCCTGCTTAACGTTCAGCATTTAGGGAAATGGCAACAATTGGTTAACCCGTTGTCAGTGTAATGTGACTGGACTTATTGATGTGCTGGGTGTCTTCGGCATAGTATTTCAGTGAAATAGCACTATAAAGTCAGATCCGCGCTATTACAAGGAGGCAAGTACACCAACATACCCTGTCTCCTGCATACATACACACTTGCACGCTTACACAACGCACATAGAGGCACGTCCGTAAATGACCTTAGCTGTTAATAGGACGTTGAACTAATTAAAAACAAACAAAACCAATCATAGGAGTCTGGCTGATGCAAGGACGATAAACCCGAAATAAACAAAATCATTGACCAGACATTTCATACAATGGTTGTTTCATCTAATTTACACTGGTTAAAGATGAAAATTTTACATCCAAACCATTAAGGGTGTCTTCCTGGTCTAAGCTTGCGGTTATCCTGGTTTTTGGCAGCCAAAAAATAAGACCATTTTTCGTTCTAACACTTACTTTATTCAAGTTCACATACTAATAAATAAAATCCCTGACCGTTCATACATATATTTAGACCCCAAAATCATATAAAACGGACATCTAGAAGCAAAGATATGTATTTTTTTGATATTCCAGACGACCGGTGGCGGCCATTTTGAATTTTCAAGTCTGGCCGAGTTAGCCCACATTTTCACGAGGTTCACCCCAGCTCATTTTAATCAGCACCCTCAAACTGACTAAAATAAACTTTCAAACCTTGGTACGGGAAAAGTAGTCACGGGACCCCATTGTGGGAACTCTACTATACCCTTTCCATAGACAGTATTAGTAACCTTGGCCCTGACTTTGGTACATGCAAAACAAATTTATTCAAAATATTCTCACACTTGATTATTATATGATAATTGGTCAATCTTTTTTTTTTCAAATGAGTCGCTAGAGCCACGACAGTGTATCTGAACTGGCCGTAGCCTGAGTTTCAACAATTGTTCTGCATGTAGAGATTTAATATCCATATTAATATTTGGAAGGAATATCGAATGGATACTTTGATTTGTGGTAAGAATGCTGAATGCGATTGGAAGTCATTTATCTATTTACTTTTTCTTGGTTTAAACATACAAACGCTATACAATTCTAATTTCTAGTCTAAGTTTTATTAACAAAGAAAACAAGAACAAAAACAATTGAATCTTATTGCAAACACTAAACATAATTGTTCAAATGTACACCATTTGAATTGAATAAATTAAAATAGTCAACATCACTTGTAATCCGATCGCTGAAGGAATCCTATCATAAGCAGGAACCGCTCACAGACAAACTTTGTGAGGGCAATTTCATTATTACCTGTCTTTCGAGAGAGACTCTGGGCCTCTCGAATGATGGCTACAAACACAGACAATAGAATGTACTGGATAAAGAAAACAAACATGACAAAAAAGGTGGGTCCAAGTACAGAGTGTGCCTGTTCGAGCTTGTAGTAGTCTGAAACACCGAGTAGAAAGTTACCGAGGGTTATTATACTGCTTCCCACATCTTTATAGTCAACAATCCAATAACCGAATACTAGGTGTCCAAAGAGAGCGAATGCCATGAAGAAAATGAAAAACAAAAATGCAAAATTCAACAGACTCCCTCTCGCATTCCCCAACGTTTGCATAAGGATGGTGGTCTTAGTGTTGAAGCGGAATAATTTGAAAACTTTCAGAATTACTAACATGACTAAAACGGCCATGATATATGTCAAAACAAAGTCCCAAAACACGGCGGTGTAGAAACTAGTGAATTTGTTGGGTCCATTTTTCCTATATTCCGAGAGAACGCTGTCCACTAAAACAAGTCTCTGAAAAAATAACCCAAGAGTACAATAACCAAGCACAATGATCATAACTTCCATATAATTCCAGGTGTCGGAGAAGTACTCAGTTTTCCGCAATTTAGTGAACTTCTTCACTTCGAAATAAGTGAAACCTATCAGGTACACCAGAAAAAGTGACTCGCATACAGCAACAAAAATACCGAGGTCAGAGTCATAGTGATTCAGCTTGGAGGAGAAAAATTGATAATAAGGCATGATATTCCCTATGTTTGATAGTTCAAATATGATAATGGCCACTGTGAACAGATCAACATTGGGGTTGTAGGAAGTGAACTCCAAGAAAATTGCTCGAGTGTACTGGTCAACCCAGTGCTGGGACCTGAGGTCATTGAGTGCAGTGTGTGCAGCGTCACTGCCTGTTGGCAGCTCCGTGACATAACCTCCCCCAGAATAGGAAGCGAACCTTCCGACAAAAGGAAGCGTTTTTAGCTCCAATGATGAACGATATTTCCAAGCACTGTCTTTGGTTGGAAATTTAGCTGCTTCAGGGAGTGGCCAAGCCCAAGATGCATTAAATGGGCGCCATTCTTCATCACCTGTTGAAAATGGCACTTTACAATCCTGGTCAGGAAACAGCGAAGCATGCAAGCGGGTGTCAACTCTGTAACATTTTATACCTGAAACGAAAGAAAAAAGAATCATACTCATTGGGTTTGGCAAAAAAATAGAACCAGCATCATTCTTGACATTTAAATTATCAAATAAAGTAGATAAATACAAGGGGATTGAAAAGGAAGTCCGCCAAGCTTTGTTGGAGTGCAGACTGATAGAATGGGGTACATACATTCCAACCATTATTCCTATTTGATATGGATTGAAGTTACAAAATGCATCAGTATGTACAAACAACACAATCGGGTACAGTGATAACTAAGAAGCTTAATAAAATTGGTCGAAAATGTTGACAGGAACCTGCGAAAAAGCAAAATGTATAAATTCTCCACTATCAGTTAAAGTTTCTGTAACTGTGACGCTGACTTTGAATGTCTTAACTTGACCTTCGACTGATTTTTATAGTGATTGACATCAGAAACAAAGGTGTGGATTTTCATCAAACTTGGCTGAAAGCCTTAGACAGAACTTTCGGTCAAAATAAATGCACTTTTCCAGTCATCTTTTAAAAATTCTCAAAGGGTGACCTTTAACTGAAATGTATGACATTGACTTTTAATTAGGCTACAAGGAATAATTTCAGAAATATCTGTGCGAAATTCTATGACTATTGGTTAACACTTTAGTCAGAAAGCTGCTGACAAGCCAGATGACAGACGGACCGGACCGACTGACGAAAGATGGATAAACATGATAATGTGACCGGTCGCCCTTTTTCGGGTCCGATGTCATAGTCCGGCCATACGACATAATCGTCCTGGCAGTCACAACTCCAACACCAACATTCCACTTTATTTCCATGTACAGCTTACACAGGTTAATCTAAATGTTGATAATCTTTCACTCTCTCCTTTCTGACTCTCAAGGTCTCTCTCTCTTATACTCTTGATTGATTGATTGGTGGGGCTTTACGTCCTTGTTCCGGTTATAACCGAGCCTAGGACAAGAACTCTCTCAGTCTTGGTTGGTTGGTTGGTTGATGGGTTTATAGACTACACTTCACGGACGAAGTCTGCGTTTTCTGTAGCCTCACTGCCCTCCTATAGGTTCCTTATATACTTGCTACTTGTTCCTCACAGAAGACCTCCTGCTGAGGCTATACTTGCCGATCTCACCCAGCAGGCCATTTGACCAATGTTGTGTTTCTTATTTTATTTTAACCTGAAAATTTATCAAAACTATAAATGTTACAACTGATCTAAATACTTGTCCTGAAAGTTGACATTCTCTGCTTTTTACTGAAGTCTTATACTTTTAACACAAACATTGAACTTAAATGCATTATTGAATTATTTAGTATTTGAACACTTCAAATGACAGTAAAACATATACAGAATCAAAACTACTTGTTTGATTTGAATAATCAAAACAGTTCCATAAACTACACATAATGCTTAGTGTAATTATTTCTCTATTCTTGTATAAAAGAATGAAGCTACATAGAAATAGTACAGTCAACACTCGTTATCTTGAACTCTTTTAACTCGAAGACCCCGTTTATCTCGAAGTATTTCTCCGGTCCCAGCCAAATCTCTTCTTTATCCTAGTAACTAAAACTCTGATAATTCGAACCCTGAAAAGTCGAAAAACTTGGATACCTCGAAGTAAAATATTGGTTTCAATAGCGTTAATCCAGCATCATAACATCGTCTTCTTCATAGTGTTCAAATTTCATTTTGTCACCTATTCCTAATTAATTGATACAAATAAAACGCAAAAGTACAACATCTCGCCATTCTGTGTTTATGAACATCTTTCGTAAGTAGACTAGCATAAAATCGGTAAAACGAAATTACGATAAAGCTTCAGACTGTAATTTGTAAAGTGTACGGACCGTCAAAACCATGTTGTTCATAATAAAAAACAAACTTCATCAATGTTGATCAACAGTATTCTGCACTTACTGCGAGTCCGTTTAATGATTTGTACACCCAAACAGACGACAGTGCAAACCGGAAAATTGGCCACAAAGCGTGGTCATGCATAAAAGAGTTCCACAGTTAAAATCACAACCTAGCTTTACGGGTTCGTGTTTTTACACAGGAGTCAGTATGGCTTTGAAAGTCGATCGAGAGATTTAAGAACAATACGATAATTGCTGTTGATTACATCAAGTTGAGGAGGTGTCAGGTGTCACATTTGGCTTTAATGAATCAATGTGTTACATGTACGATATAAAGTGTTTGTGTGTGTTTTCATGTACAGAATCAACTATGCGTACGCTCCATTACAGTGATTTGTTTTAGACTTGCGCACTTTCATTTTCGCATTGTAACTACGAGGTCGGAGACAGAGGGATAGTTCGATTTTAAATGTAACACTTCAGAAGTAAAACTTGACGGACTCGCAAAGTCTTTCCAGGTCTGCATTTGTATTTGCCAAGTTCTAAACTAGGAAAAAACTACATTTTATCACTCGGCCTGTCCATATTTAATAACGAATTCACAAATGTTTTGATCGCGTTTAAAAACGAAAGTACGTTTTCTGAAATAACTTACTCTATTGTTGTAAGCGTGTTTATTGTAAAATTACATACCTGTATTTGATATACTGATTACGTCTATCATTCATTGATTGATTAGAAGCATAGGCTATTAATTAAACCAACAACTGCTAGTGCTATGTCCAAACAGCAAATTTCATACCAAATACCCGCATAACTCGAATACTCGGATAGGATAACTCGGAAGTTTTCCTACGACCGTCAGCTTCGAGATAACGAGGTCCGACTGTATGTTAAATTGGTTAACAAAAACAAATCAAACCTACACTATATCGGCTGAGGTTCAACTTATCATTTTAATGGTCCCAGTGGGGGAATCCCATTACTGACCATTTGCCCTTCAGCCAGAGGGAGCTGATCATGATCACACAGCATGACCCCCATACAGCTCAACTAGTACTGAATAGGTTACACTTGTGCAGCTAAAACTAATTATTACTTCTCAGATAAATTGAGATAATATGTCACACTATTTCTCTGTCAGTCATAATAATACCGAGATATACTTTGCCAAAGGCGAGTGTATCAATATCAATAAAGTCCACAAAGATAAAAGCTAAATTATGTGTAGTATGGAACAACAACTGCAAACGATGTGACAAATCTGATTAAAACTGTCAATCAACCCAAGATATCACAAAGGGACTTCCAGTAACAGCATTGTGTAAAAAGAAGTGTAATTCCAATTAATGGTTCATCATATCAGTTTTAGTTTCAACATTATCTTGTTTTGCAGAAGTCTCCGCTATTACCGCCTTGCATGACTATGCTGAGAAATAAGGCTGCTTTGTAACCTCCAATCCCCAAATTTGCATATAGCAAGTAAGCTTAAGTAGATGATGTCAAGATACTTTTACTTATTATGTCTCATATATTCAATATATCTGGGTAAAATAATTAATAATTTGTTTTATTTATCAGTTGTGTGAATAATATGCAGTTTAATTAATGTAATATTTCTGCTTCTGTAATGTATTTAATACAAGTACCGTATTTTACCGCAAATAAGCCCCCTCCCCACTTTGGAAAATGTCCAGGGAACAGGGTGTGTGCCTGCAATAATAAGCCCCTCCCTAATTTTGTCTCCATCTCAAAAACAAGAGGCCTAATGGGCCTTCATCGCTCACCTGGTATTAATCTCACACTTGTAATCTTAAAAGTGGACTAAAATACAGCTACAGGCAGAATATCAGTGTGACCCTAAATGTCAAACAATGACATTAGGTTGAAAATGGGTCAAGGTCATTCATTTGAACAAATTTGGTAGCCCTGATTGCTACAGGCCAAATATCAGTACCCGGGGCCATTTGGTTATTGAGAAGAAGTTGCTTAAAGTTTTTTTTTACATATTTGACCCCTGTGACCTTGAAAACGGATGAAGGTCATTTATTTGAACAAACTTGGTAGCCCTTCATCCCAGCATGCTACTGGCTAAATATTATCACCTTAGGCCTCTTGGTTATTTAGAAGAAGTTGTTTAAATGTTTTGAACATATTTGACCCCTGTGACCTTGAATATAAGTCAAGGTAATTTATTTGCACAAACCTGGTAGCTATTCAACCCAGCATGTTACTGGACAAATCTCATCACCCTAGGCCTCTTGATTATTCAGAAGAAGTTCTTTAAAGGTTTTAAACATATTTGAACCCTGTGACCTTGAATATAAATCAAGGTCATTATTTGAACAAACTTGGTAGCCCTTCATCCCAGCATACTTTTGGCCAAATATCATCACCCTAGGCCTTTTGGTTAATGAGAAGAAGTTCCCTTCGGGCCAGGTGAGCTAAAAATGTATGTCAATTCTTGTCTCTGATTTAAGCAAATTAGCTTATTGGATGCAAAACAACATAAACCCAAGTTAAAACAAGAGGCCCAATGGGCCTGAATCGCTCACCTGGTATAAATCTCACTCTTGTTATCTTAAAAGTGGACACCTGTGACTATGAAAGTTTATAGTCTTCAGTCCCGGCATACTTTTGGCTAAGTATCATGACCCTGGACCTTTTGAATATTCAGAACAAGTCATTAAAGGGACATCACATTAAGTCATATTTTTTTTAATGAATGTATGTATTGTATGCACTTCCACTTATGTTACCTCGCTATCCCCATATTCATAGTCCGTTCCAAATGTCCAGTTTGACCACTTGAATTGTTCGGGAAAGCCCTGCTAAAAATAGCGCCGATAACGTCACCCGACTAGGCAGTGTGAGCGAGATGAAACGGTTTCCAAAGGGGCCCCCAGAGAGGAGCCGCTGGGCAACTGCAACTTCTTACCGCACTATGAAACCAAGTATTCAAACTTATTGAACAATAATTATTGCACACTTGCCAATATTCAGAATTTAAATTTATTTAGCTTTAAATATATATTTGTTGCCAATAAAATTGAAGGGATGGGGGCACAAGTTTTTACAATTTATCACAGCCTTCTCCCGTCGTACATTTACAATTAAATGTCAACAATGATAATAGGTATATGTATATAAATATATATTGAA